GAAATTACAAGTGAGATTCACAATGCAGAAAGAAATACAAGAATTTTATATTATAATAAGATAATCCATTAACTTATTAAAAAAAAATAAGTTAATAGATTATCTGACATGGACTCAAGTTAGAAGAAAACCTGTGCAGGACAATATATTAAATTATTATAACTTTTTGAAATGTAGGTGAGTAATTTATTTGAAGATAAGCTTAAAAATATTTAAAATTGATTATGTTCTAATACAAATACATATAAAGTGCTCCTAGGTCAATTCCAGATATTAAAGTGAAACATAAAGATTAAAAATGTGATTCTCAAAGCACAAGTAGCCCAACTCACTTCTGAGTGTAACTGCAACGGTTTTATCCCACTGGCACTAGGGCTCCCAGCCAGGGGACAGCCCTGCCCTAGCCTGAATCAGCACCATAACCCCTACTCAGGACTGTGGGACCTCAGGCTCTCCTGGTCTGCATACTTCATATAGTCAGACTACACCCTCTCCACCTGTCCACACTGCTTCTGAGGCATGGCCTCTCTTGTCTTCTCTTTAAGAGCCAGGACTTGCTGGTACATGAGCATGGTCACTCAAACCTGTGCTGACTCCTCCCCTTCACAATTTCTTTTCTTTACCTAGCTTCAACGTTATTCCCTTTGACAAAACATCAACTTGTATATCATCTTTTCTATTCAGGAATCTGTCTTGAATATCCAAAGTAGTGCATTAGATGAGGGTTGAGGGTCTAATGAAATAAAAGTGAAGCCACGTATGTAATTTAAATGTTTTTAGTAGCCTCATTAAAAAGTTAAGAACAGGTAAAATTAATTTTAATGTTTTTTAATTGAACCCAATACATGGAAACTGTTAAGATATATAATCAGTAAAATTATTAACGAGGTACTTTAGATTTTTTTTCTTATTAAATCATCAAAATCCAATGTGTATTTTACACTTCAATACTTTTGTCTTACTATCTATACATCAAATGTTCAATAGCTACATTTGGCTAGCTTATTTGACAACAGAGTTCTACTTCTTGCTTAGAAGATAGTAAGTCAAGCCTTCACCTTTTCTCATTGCATTTCTTCCTGATTATTTTGTTTTTGTCAGTTCTATTGAGTTGTAATTTATATCTAATAAGTTGCAAATTATAAGTATGCAGTTCTGTTTTGATATGTAGAGAATTGTGTAATACCCCCACAATCATGATATATGAAGGGCCTTTTCTTTACCCTCCATGTTTCCCTGTGTCCCTGTCCAATTCATCCCCTCTGAGCCTGGCTTCCGCTGATATTCTTTCAAATGCTATCACTTTGCCTTTTCTAGGATTTTATATGATTGGTATCATACAGTATCTTATCTTTAGTGTCAGGCAGCTTTGAATTTATGTAATGCTTTTTGAGATTTATCCTGTTGTATGGATCAGTACTTTCATTTAACTGGTAATGTTAAACTTGACCTAAGCCGGCTTTCCTGCATTTGAATTTTTACATAAAGATTTCATCTTTCATAGTGAACTGTAACCTAACTTCTTGGGTAAACAGATTGCAACCTATCCTTCCACCAAATAGCAGTCTCAGCTAATCACAAGCAGCCAACTGATGAAACCATGTTCAAATAAGACAGGCAGTTGGCAGAACCAATCAGACTGTCTAAACCTCACTTCAGTTTTCTTCCTAGCACTTCTTTTTTTTTTTTTTTTTTTTTTTTGAGGGGGTGGTGGTGCTGGAGATTGGACTTAGAGGCACTCAACCACTAAGCTACATCCCCAGCCCTATTTTATAGACAGGGTCTCACTGAATTGCTGAGGCCTCACAGTTACTGAGGCTGGCTTTGAACTCTCTATCCTCCTGCCTTCGGAGCCACTGGGATTACAGGTGTGCACCACATCACCAGGCACCTTCATGGCACTTCTTTTTCTCTGGTTATAAATATAACTGGCCTACCTAGTAGGAAAGAGTATTCTAAACYATTTTTGGTCCAGACTGCTGCCTGATTCTAGAATTGCAAATAAAACCAATTAGGATTTGCAAATTTAAATTTATTGTAATTTTTCTTTTATTAGTAATATGCCATTGTATGCATATACAACAATTTGTCCATATACCAGTTAAAGGCCTCATAGACTTTCCATTTTGTGACAGTTACAAATTTTATGCCTTTATAAGGTTGAAACTCTTCTTCAAGAGGATTGCGTATTCCAAGTACAGTTTTGCCTGAGATATAATTTTGCGTGTGTGTGTGTGTGTGTGTGTGTGTGTGTGTGTGTGTTGGGGGAGATAGGGTGGACCTTAGTAAGAATAATACTATATAATAATAATAATAATAGTAAGAATAATACTATCACAATGTTTTTTTAACATTAGCTATTACATACATTAGCACATTTATTTCCACATTCCAATGCCATCATCAACTCCAAATATAAGCTCAAATCCAAATATAATTTGAAATTCAAATAATATTAATTACTCCTTTTATTCCAGGTGCAGTGCTAGGTTCTGAGTTACATGGAATGGTCAAGAAAGATTGGGCCTCTGCCTTCACACTGCTAATCTAACAAAGACAGTAGAGCCTCACAGTGCTTGTGCTAAGTGAAATGGTGTGGCTGTCACAGGAGATATTGAAAATCCAACTTGATCCCTCAGGTGTGATTACTCTGGTCAAACAGTGTCTCAAGTGGTGGTTAAATACTACCACAGTAATACTTATCAGTAATACTAATTAGGTGTTCAGGGTTCATTAATTTGTCAACAATTATGTTCTACATCTTTCATGGAGAGAAAGATTATAAAGGAGTAGTAAGAGCTCTGAATGTCTGTGTTCAAATACCTCTTCCACCGCTTAACCTGACTTCTTAACTTCAGTTAATACAACTATGAAAGGGGGCCTCAGGGACACTCATGGTGGTGTTGAGTACATGCAGAACAATTACATTTGTGTGTGGTACCTAATAGGCTGTCAGTGTTAATATTTCACATTAGCATTGTTSTTACTAAGCAGGGTAGAGGGATGACCAGGAACAGGACCTGTGAGAGCATCACAGACCACTAGGTGGCAGTACTCAAGTCCCATTTCAACTCACTGGATCTGCCACAGTGCCTCACAGTCACCTTCCTCAGCTATGCTTATGTCCTATAGCATTCCCCCGCACCCCACCCCCGTAGTCTGGGGCGTTTTCTAAGGCCTTTTGTTCTGATGGAAGTGTTCTTATTTCCAAACTATTTTATTCATCCAAGTTGAGGACCTGTGTTTCAGGCACATTGTGCTAGTTGCCCAGGCTATAGCTGTGAATAAAAAGGTCTGATCTCAGAGAGCTTATACATAAATATATATATATATATATATATATATATACCTTTTTTTTTAACCTATTTGACTGTCAATATGGGAGGAAATTGGTACAATTTTCAGGGCCTTGTGGTCTTGAGCCCACACTGATAATGTTGCGCCAGTATACATGACTTTTGCTGAGGACCAGCCACAGACAAATTATGGAATTCTTGTTCCCAAAACCAGTTAGGCAAGCAGAGCAAATGGGAAAGAAAAARAAAATCCAAGTGAAAATGATTCAGTGCTGGAAACAGTTTTTTAAAAGTCAAAACAATATTCTCAGTGTGATTTCAAATGATGGTAATTGAGTTGAACAACTGAAAACTTCCAAGAAAAATAAATTGAATGTAAAGGTGGTATTTTTCAAGAAGGATATAAGGCCTCACCTGCCCTAATGACTCCTTCTTTACACAAAGGCCCCTGCAGATCCTGTCAACAGCTATGACTGGCCTCAGTGGAATCCCCTCAACAAATAGGATCGTTCCCATTTCCACACTCAAAAAGCACTGGGTCCATGCCTGACTCTTACTGCATTTAGCACCAACTATTTTTGGTTAAAAGTATGAGATTGAGGACACAGCTTTGAACAAGGACCCTGAAAAGAATAGGCTTCTGGCAACTCTATAACCTAGAAAATGCATGATTTTCTGAAGTCACTTAACATCTCTATTTCCTTGTTGAAGGACCAAGATTGTATTTATTTACTTATGCAGAGTTGTCCTATGAAGGACAAAGAAAGCAAGAAATCACAACTGGTAGAAGTGTTAATTATAAAAATATTTCTTCCCCTTATTGTAGTCATTCCTGTTTCTTTGGGCTTGGCTGGGAAGGTGAGCAGAAGGATGAAAGAGCTCTGTATGGAGTGGAACGTGGCAGTGTCTTCACAGCCARTGGTGTTTATGATCTTAGAGATCAGATACCTGAGAGTGAAGCAAAGAGATCAAAACAAAAAGCTTGAGAGAAAGATGTGATCGATACATGGAGGGAGGAGGAGGTTCTAGATTTTTATTCATCCAATGTTGAGGAYCTGTGTGTCAGGCACATTGTGCTAGCTGCCCAGGCTATAGCTGTGAACAAAAAAGTCTGATCTTAGAGAGCTTAACATTCCAGTGGGAATATTCAGACAAGGAAGATACATATCAGGCGGTGAGAAAAAGAAAAGGCTGGTGAATATGCAGAGAGTGATTCCATGGTAGCTGCAATGTACATAGGCTAGACAGAGCAGACCCTTCAGATAAGGAAAATTTGAGAAGTGAGTGAGTCACACAGATACCAGGGTGAAGGGTCACTCTTGCAGGGGGAAAAACAAATGGAAAAAATTCATAGGCATAGTCTGTTTTCATGCTTTTCACATTGAGAATGTATTTTGGTGTTTTGGAAGGTCAGACAGATGATGGCTCACACAAGGCCTCTTCTCTTCAGGGTTTCCTTTTGTCCTTCCATCCAATAGGAGTAAGAAAAAATAATAATCATCACTCTGATATGGGTGGAAACTGGTGTCTCATATGAGTTGGGGTAAAAAAGAATGTTGGAAATTAGAATGAGAAGTTTGCCCCAAGTGTCGGACCTCTATCCTGCACAGGATAATAAACATCTCCTTTCTTAGCCTGAGCCTCTTCTGTTTGTTTGTTCTTTTACCTAGGATTCCATAGCAGGACAACCTTTGAAGCAGGGCTGGACAGGCAGGAGCCAGCAAAGTAGCTACAATGACTTCAACAGTTCTGGGGGACATCCGCGATGAGGTGACCTGCCCCCTTTGCCTGGAGCTCCTGACCGAACCCGTGAGCACAGACTGTGGCCACAGCTTCTGCCAGGCCTGCATCACAGAGAATAGAGAGGAATCAGAGATGAGCCAGGACAAGGAGCGCAATTGTCCTGTGTGCCAGACCAGCTACCAGCCTAGGAACCTCCGGCCSAATCGGCACCTGGCCAACATAGCGCAGCGGCTCAGAGAGGTAGTGTTGTGCCCAGGGAAGCAGCTGCAGGTAATTCTTTGTGCACACCATGGAGAAAAACTCCAGCTCTTCTGTAAAGAGGATGGGAAGCTAATTTGCTGGCTTTGCGAGCGTTCTCAGGAACACCGTGGCCACCATACATTTCTCATGGAGGAGGTCGCCCAGGAGTACCAGGTGGGAGCCCGGGATAGAAGGAGGACAGGGAGGAGCAGGGTCCTCGGCAAGTTTTAACTTGACATGATGCTTTGATTTAACTTCTTTGTAGTCCACCACGCCCTCACCCTCGGTTTACCCAAAGGATGAGCCTAGAAAATGCCTTCCTGGTCAGGGGTGTAGACTTTGTCTTTTCCTTTTTGCACAAGATTGATTAGAATGAGCTGCTGGGGATAAAAAGGAAGTCAGTGGATTGAAGGTGGGTAGTACATTGGCAATGAAAGTAAAGGAGTAAAGTTGTTTTGTGGTCAGATTCTTTGCCCAGGAGAAAGATAACTGGCCTATTCTTGTTGATCTCCAACCCTGTGTATATAAGATGATCTGGCTGTCTCAATTTTTCATCCCAAGGTAGGACAGCCTCCTTCTAAGGTCAGMATAATCTCTGCCTAGTTTATTGCATGTCTAGGTACTGACCCTGTTACCCTGATGTGTTTCTTCCAGGAGATGTTTCAGGAGTCTCTGAAGAAGTTAAGGAAAGAACAGCAGGAAGCTGAGAAGCTAAGAGCTTTTATCAAAGAGAAGAGGGCATCCTGGAAGGCAAGAAAGATTCCTCCCAAGGGTATTATAGGAGCAGAGGGCAAAGGAGTCCTGGTTTTGTCTGTTCCTGAAATTATGCCTAGTAGCGTTTCCCTTCGCCTCATCCCTGGCCGCATCCCTTCCAGACCAGAGCATTTCCCATGTGCAGGGGGACTCAGATGGAGTTATATAACAAACGTACCAAAAGTGAACCCAGGTCTTTGGAACAGTCACCTAGCAGAGGAACCAGGGCTAGAAGTAGTCCCAAATTCATAATTCTGGTTCTTATTTTAGTTTGGGTTCCTGGGAATGCCAATTTAGTCATAGGCCAATAATTAACGACCTTATTATCCCTGGAAGCAGAGGCTGGTACAGAACCAGGAGAGGCTAGAGAGGCTGCCCTGAAATCTAAACCTTTATGGAATTAGTCTATATCTAAAAGGCTTAGATAAGGCATCCTGGGGCTATTGGTCTGAAAACAAGAGAATGGAGAAAAAAAAGAAATAGCTACCACAGATCTGTACCTGCAGGCATTTACTGTCTCAGTGAGGCTGGCCCAGGAAAGCAGTGCTGAACCTGCCTCCCCCATCCCCTGTGGAAGAGACCCTCAGCTCACCCAACAGCAACCCCTTTTTCTTCCTTGATACTGAAGACTCAGATGGAGCCCGAGAGACAGAGGATCCAGACAGAGTTTAGTCAGCTGCGAAGCATCCTGGACAAAGAGGAACAGCGGGAACTGAAGAAGCTGGAGGAGGAAGAAAGGAAGGGGCTGAGCATTATAGAGAAAGCCGAGGAGGAGGTGATCTACCAGAGCCAGTCACTGGAAGAGCTTATCTCAAATCTGGAGCATCGATGCCAGGGCTCAGTAATGGATCTGCTGCAGGTAAGACTTAATGGAGCCTCGAATGTGAGAGTCAAGAAAAAGAGAAACCAACTTTCCTTTTTTTCTGGGAAACAGAACCAACAGCTTGGTAGGGGTGAGGAAAACTAAATCCTTTGGCCCAATAGTGCCTCTTCCCTTTTGAATGGCAAAGCATAAGGTAATTTTTAAATTTTAATTTGTTATATATGCCAGCAGAATGCATTATAATTCATATTACACATAGAGAGCACACTTTTTCGTATCTCTGGTTGTACACAAAGTAGAGTCACACCATTCGTGTATTCATACATGTACTTAGGGTAATGATGTCCATTTCATTCCACCATCTTTTCTACCCCCATGCCCCTCTCTTTCTCACCCACCCCTCTGCTCTATCTAAGTTCATCTATTCTTCCCATCCCCCCCCCAATCCCATTATAAATTAGCCTCCTTATATTAGAGAAAACATTTGGCATTTGCTTTGGGGATTGGCTAACTTCACTTAGCATTATCTTCTCTAACTCCATCCATTTACCTTCAAATGCCATGATTTTATTCTCTTTCAATGCTGAGTAATATTCCATTGTGTATATATACCATATTTACTTTATTCATTCATCTACTGAAGGGCATCTAGTTCGGTTCCACAGTTCAGCTATTGTGAATTGTTCTGCTATAAACATTGATGTGGCTGTGTCCCTGGAGTATGCTGTTTTTAAGTCCTTTGGGTATAGACCAAGGAGTGGGATAGCTGAGTCAAAAGGTGGTTCCATTCCCAGTTTTCCAAAGATTCTCCATACAAAGCATAAGGTAATTTAGAGAACAAATGCTATATTTTTATTTATTACTTATGAAGGGCAGTCTGAAAGTTAGTTTGATATTGTGTGGAAAGACCTCTTATATCCAGTGATACTCAGTTGTTTCTCAATCCCCAGATTTCCAGGGAGAACATATCAAACCCTGTCCCCACTTGAAAACCACTGTTTTTCAGGCACCTCCTGTCTCTGTTGCTATACTGGGAATTTGCTCAGTTTAGTCACAGGAAGATGCATGCCAAGCTCAGGTTCTTAGAGGATATATAATTACCAGCCCTTCTTTGCTTTTACTCTCTTCTCTAGGAAAGAATCATTGAGCAAGTTGCAGTAACAGATATTTGAACAGGTTTTGGGGCTGGTCTCTGGTCTAAGTGTGGGTGGTTTGGAAGAGTACAAGGTATCCAGCCTGGAAAGATTTGATGGAGGAATTTGAACTGAGACTGAAACTTGAACTGAGTTGAAACTTAAAACAGTTGGTTACTGCATGGAATGATGAGTAGGACTAAAGAGTGGGRGCCAGGTAGACGTATCTTGGAACCTTTAGGCTGTCCCTTATTTTTTGTTCACCTTCTTGCTTCCCTTTCACTCTGCCTTTGCTGGTGAACTAATTATTTCTTTACTTATTCCTGGGTGCTAGCATTGGAATCGTGGAATAGTAATTTTCCACCTTATTGGAGCTTTTCCTCACTCACTGCTTCATTTCATTCTTCTTATCATTCCACCCTGTCTTTGGGGTCATTCAGGTATACACAGCAGAAATTAGAAAGTCAAATAGGAGGCAAGTGGTCAATTCTGCTGAAATGAGCCAGGAAGTGGCAATTATGAAGGTGACTGACAGGTGGCTAAAAGAAGGCAAGGGGGTGAGATGAACTGGTATGGTCAAAGAGGAGATGTCAGATGGATATATGGTGGCTTTTATGACAGTATTTTGTCTATGTTTGGGGACTAAGTGGCTGCTAGTATCATTCAGGAGGCTTATATAATCTGCTTGATGATAGAAGCCTCAGCAGAAGTACAGATTTTGATAATCATCAATACATGTATGTCAAAATCAAGGCATGGTTGAAGTCAGCAAAGGTCAGGTAGAAGGTCAGAGAAGATAAGGTTTGCAAGATAACCTTTTAAAAGACTCTGAGTTTGCATTTGCAGTAGCCAGAGTAGAATGTCTCTCAAGGTTAGGAATCATGACTTCATCATTCCCAAGGCACAGCATGGCAAATAATAGGTGGTATAAACATAACATCACACACACACACACATAATGTAAAAATAAAGGAATAATGACTTGTCTTTGRTGTCTTCACATGAGTACTAAGGGTCAATCTGCCCTAAGTTTTTGTCTCGTTTGTGACTATATTTCTTTTGCATCATGACGTGGTAGAAATGGGCTGAGAATATGATCTGTTATGCCTTGGCTTAAACTGTCTTTTTCTTTTCTAGGATGTGAGTGATGTCATGCAGAGGTATGTGTAGAGAACATGAGCTGTTTCCGTTGTGATTTTTATTTTCTTTCTCCTCCCTATTTTCTTTCCTCGTCCTGTGATACTAGGGATTGAACCCAGGGACACTCTACAACTGAGCTACACAATCAACCTTTTTCATTTTGAAACAGGATCTCATTAAGTTGCTGAGGGTCTCGATAAGTGGCTGAGGCTGGCCTTGAATTTACAAACCTCCTGCTTCAGCCTCCCAAGTTTTTGAGATTACAGRCATGCATTGCCATGCCCAACTTTTGATTCTCCTGATTAACAAAAGATCCTACTCAGATTTGTATTGGAGTAAATGGGAAAGAGGGGGGAAAAGTCTCAGAGAGGGAAGATTTAGTACTGTGATGTCTTGAATCACTTGTCACATGAAAATTTGGGGATTGCAAAATAAAGGGAGCAGATTCCATGATAGGAGAATTTGAATGATGGGAGGAAATAAAATTGTCTGCCATTGAGAAGTGCTGTTGCTGACAATAAAGGGTTATAGTGTCAGTGACCCCTGCATACTCTGTGTCACATGACTCCTTTTCCACAAACCTCTGTCTCTGCTTTCATCCCTGGTTAAAGCTACCTCAGCATGCACTGGGATGTTCTTTGCCTCTGCATTTTATTGAGGGAAGTTTCCATCTGTGTTGTTTGCATSGGTTTGAGCATTTGCTCTTGGGGCATGAGCCTTAAATTTGCCTTTCTCCACTGGCTTTGGTATAGTCCAGGCCTTAGCACCCAGTTCTCAGATTTCCATTTGTCTCAGTTTCCGTAAAAATATAGACCTGAGACATAAGAAAAGAAATAGTTTTGGTCCCAGAGCTGTTTTCTTCTCCATCACATAGTATAGAATCTTATCCAACAAGATGACAGATAGCTAAATTTGTCCGCACACCCAGCACCTTCAGGCTCCTTATAGACAATGAAGCACAGAGTCTATTTTCACTCAGTTTGAAGGTGAGGACATCTTGTTTCTCCAGGTGTAACATCCCTAAAGACAATGAATCCTAAGATCCTGTTTTAAAAGCCTTCCTGCTGGGCATCTAGCGGTGCTAGGGCCTGAGCCCACAGACTGAAGGAAGCTCTGCATTGGGCACTTCCAAAGCCCCAGGAGCAGATTCCTGGGTTTTACCTGTCTGCTCTGACATCCGTAGGCACTCCTGGTGGACCCTCTGATACAGTACTGATATTTTAAATATTTTGTATCTTTATTTTAGAGATAGCAGAGGATTACCTAGCCAATATTCTCCTCAATTCCCCACTATCTCTAGGMAATAGGAAAAAGAAAAATCATTGCATTTTATAAAAATAACAACAGAAAAACAAAGGAACATGAGGCGTTAAGAAGTTAAATCTTAAATTCATCAATAGGACTGAGAGGTGAGGGAGACAGAATTGTGGAGGAACCCAGGGTCACATTATGGAGCTCATAATGTCCGTCCTCCCTAGGAGTGAATTCTGGACCCTGAGGGACCCCCCAGCTCTCCCTACCAAGCTGAGAAGTATGTTCCGAGCCCCAGATCTGAAAAAGATGCTGCGAGTGTTTCGAGGTGAGGAGATGTAAAGAAAGAGTTTGGATGTGGAATTACTGTAGTGGTAAGAAATAATGAGGATAGAGGGTGTAGTTGCTCTTGGGAATAATGGTGAGGAGGGATGACACAAAGTGAGGGACGTGTTRTACTAAAGATGTCATTCATGCTTAAGGGAAGAGGAAATGACCAGTTCACAGCATTCCCTCGCATTCTGCTCAGTCTGGTAAGGGGAGAGATGTCAGACCCAAGAACCTTGGTTCTATTCAAYGTATTTCACTCTTTATCTTACAGAGCTGACAGATGTCCAGAGCTACTGGGGTGAGTGGAAACCATGGCCTCTTTGAGTTGACCTGTCTGCTGCCCTTTCACATGTTCCACACCCCAAACAAATTCACACATTCTCTCAGGTCTGAGACATTCCTGTCCCCTATCACCTACTTCCAATTCCTCCCAACCATCTCCTCTTTCCCTTCTTTGTGTCACAGGACCCCTATGCCCATTCTCATCTGCTGATATTTGTACCTTTTCCTACAGTGGACGTGACGATGAATCCCCACACGGCTAATTTAAATCTTGTCCTGTCGAAAAACCGGAGACAGGTGAGATTCGTGGGTACTAAGCTGTCTGAGACTTCCTGTCTGGAAGAACATCATGACTTYAGTGTCCTGGGCTCTCAGCAGTTCTCCTCAGGAAAATACTACTGGGAAGTAGACGTGACCAGGAAGACTGCCTGGATCCTGGGAGTGTGTAGCAATCCCATGGGACCTGCGTTCTCTGGCAGCCAGTTTGCTAACAAGCAGAATGCCTATTCSAGATACCAACCACAGACTGGATACTGGGTGATTGGGTTACAGCATAAACATGAATATAGAGCCTATGAGGATGCTTCCACTTCCCTGCTCCTCTCTATGACAGTGCCCCCTCGCCGCGTTGGAGTTTTCTTAGACTATGAGGCTGGCACTGTCTCCTTTTATAATGTCACGAACCATGGCTTGCCCATCTACACCTTCACCAAATATTACTTTCCTACTGCCGTTTGTCCATATTTTAATCCTTGCGACTGTGTAGTCCCSATGACCCTGCGTCGCCCAAGCTCCTGAGCATTTGGCTGCCCCCACTCACAGCTGAGTAATAACCTTCACCCCGCAGCTCATCTGCATGAGTCTCCTTTCTGATYAGTTTTCTGTGTTCTCACTCCTTTCCTGCTGAACATACACCCAGTGGTGATGTTGAACATGTTTGACAAATGTTAAAGGAGGTCAGGGGACCTTTCACTATTTTATCATTAAGCAGACGTCGTATTTGATGGACATACAGGGTCAACTTAAGAAATTCTCTTCTATTAATTGGCTTCAAGTTTTTGTACTAAATGAAAAACTGAATTCAACAGATATCCTKAAGTTATTGAGATAATTGTCATTTTTATTCTGCTATCAGGGACGAGTACATCAGTTTGTTTCAGTTGTTAAATCTACCATAAATTTCTGAAATAAATTATTATTAATCATTAGAGGYAAATAAACCATGTGTCATTATTGCTAACATTTTGTTTAGGTCTTATTTTTATCTGTTATGAAAGAAATTGACCTGTAATTTTATATTCTTATGATTTCTTTTAAAAAATGCAATAATGAGCAAAGAAATTAYTGTGTAATTAAATGTAGAATCCAGTGCTAAATACAAACCGTTGTGATTTCAGTGGCTTTAAATTCAAAATGAAGAAAGAAATTGTAAATTCATCCTTCCCTCTAACTTCTACCATWAACTTTAGACTTGACCTAAAAATTTAAGGATAAGCAAAYAAAAAATGAWAAAGAAATATGCCTCCCAAGCAAATTAAAATTTAAAAAAAGTTGAGGGGAGGATGACAAGAAAATGATCAGCCTAATAAAGACTCTTCTCTTGGAATGGGAGAAAAAATGGGAAGCGAAAATATAATTAACACACTTTGAGRAAGAGGGTGATTTTTTCCCCCATTACTCCATATCCCCTTTTCTTTATGCCCAGCACAAATAGCAGGTGTGAGCCACTGTGATTTTGGTGGAGGGGTGCCATGTGCTTTCTTTTTTGTTTTTGTGCTATATGTTTTCTGAGTCAACTACAAACATATTATGAGGTTAATGGGTGGTAGAAGCTGTCTGTCACCATAGCCAGGAGCCACTAGTGGAGTTGAGCACCTTGCATGTGACCAGTCTGGACTGAAACATGCTGTAAGTGTAAAATGCATACTAGATTTTTGACTAAAAATAATGTAAAATATCTCACTATAAACCTTTATATTGTATATTGCAGTGATTATATTTTGGATACATTATGTTAAATAAAATTTATTATTCATCTGTTTCATTTTCCTTTTTTAATATTGATAACTAGAAAATGTAAAATTACATATTTGGCTCACATCATATTCCTACTGGACAGCTCTGGACAGGATTCTGTGATCAAATTTCTATCCCAAAGGGAGCCCTGGTGTAACAGCCTATGGACAAATGTTCATTAAAGAGACACATTTTGACAACGACCCCTCCCCCCAACACACACACACACTAAGGAATTTTTATAAAGGGTAGTGGCAGAGGAAAGAAATTCTCAATATATCCCAAAAGTCAACTTTTGAAAGATGAYAGTAAGGCAAGAGAATATGCAACTACTGCATTTGGCCCCTGCCTTTAAGCCTTAGGTCTGTTGGGCACTTGGAGCTCCTTYATGGATTGAGAAAACACTAATTCACCCTCAGGACCAACTCTGATGTCTAGGATAAGAAAAATCCGCTTGTACTAGTTGGTTCTAGTGTATAGTTTCATTTGGGAGATAAATCTGTGGAAGGTCAGAGACCRGATAGATACTCCTCATCCTGATCTGCATGTCAATTGGAAGAAATAGGAAGGAGATAAGAGTGGGAAGACCAKCGCCCAAGGGGCTGGTGGAAGTTCAGGGAGAAATCTCCCTCAGTAATTGTTGCCTTCCCACTTATTTTCCCATGCAATAGCTCCAAGATAAAAGGATTGACCGGCTCTGCTCTACCTACAGAGTAAAGCTTAAATTCAYGTGGAGAACCAAAAGACATCAGTCAATGACCTTAAATAATTATAAAAATAGAAGTAGTACCTGAGATTCTGGGGAAGGTTTGCCCAAATAGACTTAGGGAAAATCATTAGGGTAAGTTGGCAACATTGATCCTTCCCTGTATGGGAGGGAAGAGGTTTTCCTGACCTTTGCAATTTTTGGTGTGTTAGAGTAGGATAATGTACTCTAAAAATAAAATTCTATTTATGTATAATGGATGAAATACTGAAGAAATTTATTTCTTGCTCATGTAAGAATTCTAACATGAGTGTTAACTAGTGGTTAGTGTCATTGTTCCATGTGGAATTTATGGACCATGTAGGATTTCTTTTTTTTTTTTTTTTTTTTTTTACTCACCACAACTTCAAAGCTTTATTATCAA